CACTTCGGTAGTCCAGGCCTGTGCTGGGGGTGGCGGCAGCGGACGTGGAGAGGAGAGGTCAGATTCTAGATAAATTCTGAAGGTGGAACTGACAGCATTTGCTGAGAGTTTGGTTGTGGGAGTGGAGAGAGAACAGATCAAGGGTGATTCTGAGTTTTTGCCCTGAGGAACTGGAAGGGTGGAGTTGACATTGGCTGAACTTGGGGAGACTGTGGGAGGAGTAGGTCCGGAGGGAAGATCAGAAGCTAAGTTCTGGACATGGGAAATTTGAGGCCATTATAAAGATCCTGGGGGCTCCAACAGGTTGTGGGTATCCTCACCCTGCCCTATGGCCCCCCAGGAAGGGCAGGGGGGATCTCAGGAGCCTCTTGACCTGCATCTCCCCCCTCCAGATGTTTTCAAGAATGCTCTCCGCCTGGGGACCTTCTCAGCCGTGCTGGTCACCTATGCAGCCAGCGCCCTCCTGCACGTGAGCAGGGTGGAGCGGGATCAGGGTGGAAGCTGGGCGGAGGTGGCAGGGCCTCCTCCTCACTGGCCTCATTGCACCCGGCTCCCCCAGGGCTTCAGCTTCCATCTGGCTGCAGTGCTGCTGTCCCTGGCGTTTATCACTTATGTGGAGCACGGTGAGTGCAGAACCCAGCCCGGCAGACAGGGTGGAAGGTTGGTGGGGGATTGGAACCACCATCCCCTGAGGCTAACCTGACCCCCCGCATCTGTCCCAGTCCTCCGGAAGCGCCTGGCTCGGATCCTCAGTGCCTGCGTCTTGTCAAAACGGTGCCCACCAGACTGTTCACACCAGCATCGCTTGGTGAGGGTTCAACCTGGGCAACCTCATGCCCAACACTCCCCCTCAAAAATATTACTTCTGTCTCCATCTTATATCTGTCTCAGGGTGCCCAGCTTCCTCTTCTGGTGCCTGAGCCATCCCCACAACCTCACCTCTATTCACTGGCATTCATTTCTCTAACATACATTTATCAAGCACCTGCTGTATACACACCTGGCATTTATTTCCCCCAATGAACATTTATTGAGCACCTGCTGGTACCAGGCACTGTTCCAGGTGCTGGAGACACAGTGGTGAACAAAACAGACCAAAGTCCCAGCCCTCTGGGACAAACATTTTAACAGAGAAGACAGTAAATAAAAAATAAGTCAGTAAAATATAATAGTTTGTTCGATTGCGATTAGTGCCAAGGAGAAAATACATAAGGGAAAAGGGAGAGGAAGTATCTGGGGGTGAGTGGTTTCAATTTTAAAGAGGGAGGTGACTTTTGAGTTCTTTAACTGAAGGAGGTGAGGGAGGGAAGCATTCCAGGCAAAGGGAACAGCTGGTGTAAAGAGATGGGAGAGGGCCTGGAATATCTGAGTATCAGTGAGGAGGCCAGTGTGGCTTGAGCAGAGTGAGCGAGGGGGAGAGTGGTGGGCTCTGTAGGTCATGGTGGGGGTTTGCTTTTGTTTGTTTGTTTTTTTTTTTCATTCTGTTTGCAATAAGAAGTGTGGACAACCTCAAATTTGTCTCCCACCCGACAACCGATGTTTATCACCATAAACCCCCAACGCAAAGCCCCAGCATTTTTCCTCCTCTGCGTGAATACTCGCATCTCCCCCAACCTGGATGCCCTCATGCTAACAGCACCCTCATCCCTGGATACCCCTTGAGCTCCCATAGGAGGATCTGAACCATCTCTTTCCTAGTCCGGGGGGTACCCTAGACATCCCCATCCTTGGGACCCACTGTGCCTTGTGCATCTCCCTGGGCTCCCTGCCCAGGTGGGGCTCAGGGACAGTAAGTAGGTTCTGCTGCCAAACATATCCATCTGCCCCCTACAGGGCCTGGGGGTGCGAGCCTTAAACCTGCTCTTTGGGGCCCTGGCCATCTTCCACCTGGCCTACCTGGGCTCCCTGTTTGACGTCGATGTGGACGATACCACAGAGGAGCAGGTGAGCTGGGGCCCGGGGCTGGGGGGTACCCGGGATGTGCTGCCTGCTCATAGGAACCTTGAGCTCCTCTGGGAGCTCAAGGGGTGTCCTCACTAGCACAAATGTGGGGAGGCCGAGGCATGAGGACCTCATATCATGTATCTGCAGCTTGTGCAGCCAGTGCTCCTCAGTCCTTCTTTCCCATTGTCCCTCTGGTTGATTCGCACTGTTGGGTCTTTTATTTGGGTGAAGTGTGCAAAATATGTTTATTTTACTTATAAAATTTATTTTATAGAGATGTAGTGCAAAATCCAGGTTTTACTTTATTAAAAATTTATTATTTCATCATATTTTTGTTTAGATGGAATTTGCAAGGTTTCTTAATTTTTTTTTTTTT